GCCGGCGACGGAGCCAGCCCGCGGCCAGCGTTGCGCTGCAGCGCGGCCGGCGCGGTCGCGGGCGGCGTGGCGGACGCAGCCGCCGGCGGCGCTGCGGGGGCGCCGGCGGCGGCAGGCGGCGGTGGCGGTGACGGCGGCGACGCCGGCACGCAAGAAGCAGGGTCCGCCGCGGGTGCAGCGCACGGCGCGGTCAATGAGGACGCGTCCAGCGGTGGCGCAGGCGCCAAGGCGCGCGGAGTCGCTCGGCGGCATCCTTCGGGGGTGCCAGCGCCAGGAAGCAGCGGCGGCGGGGGACGCTCCCAGGCGGCCTCGAGGCGGGTCAGCGGCAGTGGGCAGCCCGTAGCTGCGGGCGACGAGGAGCACGACTCAGGCCCGCTGAGGGCTGCCAGCGGCGGCAGCAACGGAGGCGGCAGCGGCAGCGCGCGCGGGCCGAGCCGAGCAGCGTCACGCGGCGAGGCGGCGCCGCACGAGCCCCAGGCGACTCGGGCGGCGGGCAGTGTTGGGGCCGGTGTTGCGGCGGAGGAGCTGTTTGCGGCGTCGACCGCGGCGTGGGCGGGGACACTGCGGTCGTCGTCTGGCGGCACACATCATTGTGTGCCGAGCCGGTCCGCGAACCAACAGAGGTGCGGCAGGGCGTGCGCCTGGGCTGGCTTGGCGGCCGTGCACGATGCTATGCAGCCAGCCTGTGTGGGTGTTCACGATCGTGTCAGCAGCCACATTTCAATCAACGCGACTGCATGGGCTTGGCTTTCGCCTGTACACAGACGGGTACCTGCAACACATCGCCCACCGCCAGACTGCTGCACAAACCCCAACCTCATGCCCCTCCATCCCTCCCGCAGCCACAGCAATAGCCACGCCCCCAGCCAAGGCGGCAGCCGCGCCCCCAGCCGCACCCCTTCGGCGGCCCTCTCACCGCAGGATGCCGGCAGGTGTGTATGGGTGCGAGCATGCGTGCGCGCGCGCGCGCGCGTGTGTGTGTATGTGTGTGTGTGTATGTGTGTGTGCTCATGTGTATGAATGTGCGCGTGCGTGGTGCACTCGCGGCCATGTTTGAGGGTGTGCACGTACCTGCATTGTGCTTGCACCTTCTATCGCAGTTGCACGCGTCGCGCACGCTGCACGGCGCTCGCGTTTCGCAGCCGGTTGTTGCTCGCAGACTTGCACGCAAAGCTGGTGCACTTGTCACGCACGAGTTCTGCGCGTGTTTGACCTCGCATGTGGACGATCGTGACCTAGCAATTTGCGCCTCCTTGCGCCATGTGAATCAATGATCACCCCTGCAATCCCACTCTCCTGTTAACTGCAGCAGCGGGCCTCCGAGGTCAGCCAGCGCCAAATACAGCCTGCGGCGGACAAACACGCCAGGCGGCCCCGCGGTTCCCTCAGCCGAGCAGCAGCAGCAGCAGCAGGAGCAGGAGCAGCAGCAGCGGACGGCGGCCGTGACGCCGCCGTCCCGCCAGGCATCCGCTCAGGAGCGCGCCTCTCAGAACCCCAGCCAGAGCGCGCCGAGCGGCGACTCGTTCGCCGCGGCAATGCAGGCGGCGGCGAGCGAAATGGACAGCGCGGCGGCGGCGGCGGCGGCGCCAGGGGCCCACGGCGCTGACGGCGCCGACAAGGCCGCGGCTGCGGTTCCGCGGCCGCCGTCGCGCCGGCAGAGCTCGAAGAGGCCCGTGTCGGCCGGCGGCAGCGCGGCGGCGGCGCGCTACGTCGCGGAGGCGCAGCAGCGCATGAGCGCCGGCGGCGCAGCGGCCGAGGAGGCGGCGGCGGCGGCGGCGGCGGCGGCGGCGGCGCTCGCCGGCGACGGCGCGCACAGGGCGAACAGCGGCGGCGGGTGCGTTGCTGGCAGCGATGTGGGCAGCGGCGATCGGCGCGTCGCACTGCTAGAGATGCAGTCGCTGGTGCCGCAGCGAGACGCCAACGGCGGTGGCGACGCCGACGCTGCGCTGCTCAAGGCCAAACGCATGGCATTTGAGGCGGCCGCCGGGGCGGATGCAGCAGGGGTGGTGCTGCAGATGGATGACTGCGGGCAGGGCGCTGCGGCCACGCAGAGGGGCTGCGCGTGCGTCGTCATGTGATGTGACGCGCCGAGGCAGTGGGCGTGCCTGCGTGAGGGGGCGGGCAGGAGCGCTCCCTCATCCGACTGGTTGAAACGGATGTGAGGGGCTGATATCGGGCGTATCGCACCCCTGGAGAGGTGCTTTGCAAAGTGCCGCCCGCCCGCAACACGTACGTCTGGTACTGACCGTGAATCAATCAATGGTTTATTCATTTGCTGCAGCGCCGGTGCGCCGTGGTGCGTCGCGCACCCCCGTCCGCGCGGCCCGGGCGCTGCCCGTCCGACGGTGCTGCGCTGCCGGGGCGGGCGCGGAGCGCGGGGCTCGGCTCGCCTTTGGTGCGGCGGCCGCTTCCTGTTGACTGACCGACGCCGATTTACTGCCTCACCCGTCTGCCTCAAACCCAGGCCTTTCGCAACACCCTCTTGGCACTTCTGCCCAGTGCTGACTAGACCAATATTGATGAGCCTCGCTGCGCGTCGGCTGCACCCCTGGGGCAGGCCGCAGCGCCGGCGGTAGTGATCCCGGTTCGGGTCACATGACACAGGAAATCGTAAAACTGGGGCTCGTTGGAGGGCAGGGCCGAAGGCATCATGGCACCATGACTGGGCTGGTCATGAGGGATTGCGGCAGGATCACTGGAGGTTCTGCTGTCAGGGCGGCTGACCGAGCGGCGTGGGCGGATGTGCAGCTGCGACAGGCGCATGGTTCGTGGAGCCATTGACGGTTCGTGCTGACCATGCGCACCTCCGATTTCACGCTCTGCAAGTTCTGCGGCATCCTGGTGTTTCAATGAAGTGTAAATCACCAGTGCCTGGTATTGTACTTAATCAATCACTTGACAAATTCGAAGACCAAGAGCTGTGTTGACCCTTGGCTCCTGGTCAAAGATCCACGTGTGCATGCCTGATCTCTGCTGGTGTCTGCCCTCTGTCGCTGGGTGTGTGCAGCCAAATTCAGGTCTGGCATGCCCGGTATGTTTGCAGCTGGTGGTTTTTGCAGGGTTAGGCAATACACCCAACCTTGTGTTGCGCTGCGGGCTGCTGCGGCTGACCCGTGCCCTGCGTGCCGAGCTGCCAACCGCGCACGAGCCTGGGGGCTGGTGCGCAGCTGTGGATGCTGGGATTCATGACAGAGAGTACCATAGGTGCCATTGGCATGCTAACCATCATCATACACGCTGAAAATATTACACGGTCCGCTCTACACACACTCGGTTGAGATCAATCGTTCATGTCGAGGGGTACTGTAGTCACACGCAATGCAAGCAGCATAAGGATGAGGTATCAAGCGCCAGTTTGTTCCGGAGTTGATGCTGCCCGCGTCCAGGTGGTCTCCGCACGGTTCCTGAAGCGTGGACTCCCCATGCCTGGCAAAGGCTTATAGAAAGTGAGGGGCGGCTGGTTGCAATATAATCGGCCAGCTAAGAGGCAGCTGCATTGCCGTTGACGCCGGCCCCTCGTCAATGTCCGCCGCCAGCATGAGCAAGAGCGCCGCCGCCGCCGCCGCCGCGCCGGCGCCGGCGCCCTATTTCCGGCCCAAGCCCGCCGGCTTCTTGCTAGAACGCCAGATAGACGGCGGCCTTCCGGACTTCTCATACCGGCGGCGGCTGTGGGTGGACACCAACCCCAGCAATGGGGAGGTCACCCTGCGGTGTGTCCTGACCGACATTGTGCGCATCCGCCCGAACGGAGAGATCGTTTTGACCACCGGCGGATATTTCACGGTGAGCGGGGTTTGACCGTGTTGACCACCATCATCTGAATGGTCAAAGGGGGCCAGATCCGATCACGGCCGTGGGGCAGTGCGAATATGGGGCCAAGGGGGCTGCCGGCGTGGTTGCGGATGGGTCTTGAGCAACAGGCAGCAGCCCCTGCTCCGCCGCGCCGCGAGCCTGCGCCGCCAACACGAGCCCGGCTGTCGCGGCGAGCTCGCCGCCTCGCTGCCCCCTGCTCCCATGCTTGCGCTGCTCCTCGTCCTGTGCCCGAGTTGGCCGCACGCTCTCGTCGCCGCCACCAAAACCCCCCCATGCTGCATGTTGCACCGACCTCCACCCCTCC